TGAAATTCAATGGTGAAAAAAGTAAGGTTCTACATTTAGGCAAGAAAAATCATATGCACAGGTATAGTAGGTGGCACCTTGCTCAATAGTAGTAACTGTGAGAGGGATCCCAGAGTCCTAGTGGACAATCACTTAAATATGAGCCAGCAGTGTGCTGCAGCTGCCAAACAAGCCAACACAGTGCTAGGCTACATTAACAAGAGGGATAGAATCAAGATCATGTGAAGTGTTAATACTACTTTACAATGCCTTGGTAAGGCCACACCTGGAATACTGCATCCAGTTTTGGTCACCACGATGTAAAAAAGATGCTGAGACTCTAGAAAGAGTGAAGAGAAGAGCAACGAAGATGATTAGGGGACTGGAGGCTAAAACATATAAGGAACGGTTGCTGGAATTGTATGTCTAGTTTAATGAAGAGAAGGACGAGGGGGGATATGATAGCAGTGTTCTAATATCTCAGGGGCTGCCACAAAGAAGAGGGAGTCAAGCTATTCTCCAAAGCATCTGAAGGCAGGACAAGAAGCAACGGATGGAAACTAACCAAAGAGAGAAGCAACCTAGAACTAAGGAGAAATTTTCTGATAGAACAATTAATCAGTGGAACAACCTGCCTCCAGAAGCTGTGAATGCTCTAACACTGGAAGTTTTTAAGAAGAGACTGGACAGCCATTTGTTCTGAAATGATATAGGGCAGTGGTGGCGAACCTATGGCACGGGTGCCAGAGGCGGCACTCAGAGCCCTCTCTGTGGGCATGCGCGCCGTTGCCCCAGTCCTAGGCCTTCAGCTGGGTTTTATAAAATCTTTTCGTGTTAGGCCTCCACTGCCATGTGCAAAAAAAAAAGGTTCAATCAGTCAATTTCAACTTCTTGCGGGAAAAAAAAAGATCTTGCAAAGTTGGAATTGATTGATTGAACTTTTTAGTCCCACCCAGTCTGCAGTTACCACTGTAGCCACGCCCACCCAATGGGCCACACACCCCCAACTGGCCGCACCCAGCCAATAGGCCACACCCACCCCGGCACCCGATGATGCATAAGTGGTTTTGGGCTGCAGTTTGGACACTCGGTCTCTAAAAGGTTCACCATCACTGATATAGGGTTTCCTGCCTGAGCAGGGGGTTGGACTAGATGACCTCCAAGGTCCCTTCCAACCTATTATTGTTGTTGTTGTTGTTGTGGTAACATAGCTAAGCAATAGAGAACTGCACAGCTTTGGATTTCAAGGGGAAAAGTTATCTTGGAGATTGCAAGTGGATCCTGCCTGAATTCCTTAAACCAAGTGCATTCTTCCTGCTATTGTACAGCAGGTACCTCATCAACCACAGGGAAAGATGCCATTGCTTTAAGCAGGGTGCCAAGAAGTGCTATGTGAGGTTTTTGTACTTTGAGGCACTTTCCCCCCCTTTACATACAAAATACAGCACAGTTCTACTGAGGAATCTGCTTTATTTCCCTTTAGAATGTGGATTTTTTTTTATCAAGGATTAGAAGGCTGGAAACAGGTATTGTGTGTTTATTCTTATTTTTACTCGCTTGATTTTATTTGCGTATGAAGAGATTGATATCCACTTTATAATGACAACTTTGGCCTTTCTGTATTATTTAAATAGAACATAAGAATCATGGGCTGGGAGGGTCCTCAGGGATGTAGTCCAGCCCCCTACTCAAGGCAGGAGCCTTTTTTCATCACAATCAAATGTTTGTTCAGTCTGTTTTTGAAAATCTCCAAGAGGCAAGCTATTCTATGATTATTTGTTTGGACTGTCAGAAAATTTATTCTACTCTCTCTAACAAGCTTCCACCCACTAATTGTCTGCCCTCTGGTGTTTTGAAGAATAAGTCAATCCCCTTTTCTCTGTGACAGCTTCTGAAGTGAGGGGTCCTTGGTGCTCTTTGAGTTTGCTTGTTTTCTTGCAGACGTTTCATTACCTTAACTAGGTAACATCAGTGCAAGTTCTGCAAGAAAACAAGCTCAAGAGAGCACTAAGGACCCCTCATTTCAACCCTGAGCTACAAATATTCTCCTTCATTGGTAGCTTCTGAAGTACTGGAAGATAGTCATGTCCCCCCTAATCCTTCTCTTTGATAGGCTACCAGTGTTTCTCAACCTTGACAATTTTAAGGCATGTGGACTTCAACTCCCAGAATTCCACAGCCAGCATTGCTGGCTGTGGAATTCTGGGAGTTGAAGTCCACATGCCTTAAAATTGTCAAGGTTGAGAACCACTGGGCTAGACATACCTAGCTCCCTCAACCGTTCATCATATGATTTAGCCTCAAGAGGCCCTTTATCGTCTTTGTTGCTCTTCTCTGCACACTTTCCAGGGTCTCAGCACCTTTTTTGTATTGTGATGACCAGAACTAGACACCGTATTCCAAGTATGGTCTCACCAGTGTGGTATAAAGTGGTACTATCAAATCATTTACTTAAAATGATGACTAGAGGTACAGTTGTCTTTTTAAAGAAAATAATTTAATTCTTAAAAAACTTTTAATGTTAAAATTATGTGAAATGGTAATGTGTTTGTGGCAACAAATCTAAGGCTGCAATCTGATATCCTCTTGTCTGAAAATCAGGTTCATAGATTACATTTTAAAGGGTGACTTTTATTTAAATCAGCACATCTTTCGCTAAAGCTCAAGTGGCATGTATGGGGGGTGACCTCATTTTATCCCCCCCCAAAACTCTATGTGGTAGATTAAACCAAGGCAGTTGTTTAACATTTAAATTTAAGAAGTTTAACATTTTATCAAGACAAAAATGGAATTTCTGCAAGTAGGAGTACACAGAAAGGCTAATTTAGTAACCATCTATTGTCTTTTTTCAGAGCTTATCATCCTCCTAGTGGCCGAATGATAGAAGTTTATACAACTCAACCTGGTGTTCAATTTTATACAGGAAATTTCTTGGATGGGACTCTAAAGGGTAAAGAGGGCCAAGTGTACCTCAAGCATTCTGGTTTCTGCCTTGAAACACAAAACTGGCCAAATGCTGTGAATCAGGTACATTTTCTTAGATGCTAGAAGACACCACATAATAGTCTTGGATCCCAATATATTGAAGCCATTGCCATTGGGATATTATGGATTGAGTTATAGATTAAATATTGTTCTGTGTTGGAGCTGAAGAGAAATCTTGCATTGCCATATAATAGAATTATATTTATATGCTGCTCCTTCCTCCCCCCCGATTTTAAATTGCATTCAAAAAGCGATCTCTTCAGTTGAAATCTAAATACAACCTTCAAAGAATGTGATTTCTCTGTATCTTGCCTAGCTCTTAATGCCAACAAATTCGACTACCAGATCGTAAACCAGATAGCTGTCAAGCACTTATCTATTAAATGTGTCCATTTTAGCCAATCTTTCCATACAATTCATATTTGTTAGAATGTAAAAAAATAGGTTTTGAAAAAGATTACAAATATTCCAATCATTTGGGTAATGTTTTCCATTCCAGACAAGAATATAAAGTTTGGAAAAACCTCTGAACACTGATCAGAGTATTTTGAAGCTGTTTTTAAATGCAAACAATTGAGTACAAGTATGGTTCTACCTAAAGTGGGTTTTTTTCTTTATAGTCTAATTTCCCAGACGTCCTGCTGTACCCAGGAGATGAATATAATACCACAACATGTTTCAAGTTCTCTGCATCTTAAATGAAATCTTGGTAAAAATTAATTTTACAAAAATATTTTAAGTGATTAAAGCAGATTCTGAATATCCTGATTATAGCACACATTTCATCAAAGAAAACCATTAAAAGGTAGTATTTGGTTAAGTCCCCTCTTCATAATAGAAAAGTAGTAAAATTTAAGTTCACTCAACAAATTGAATGTTATCATGTTTACCACCTTTTGACAAAGGCTTTATCTGCTCTAAATACAAATAGGAAGTGAAGTCCTAATTTAAAATCATGAAGAGACTTTTCATTAAGCTGATCTGTTGGCCATGTTCCTTGACAATGCAGGTATTACTGAGACATAATAATGTGATCATAGATATTTGCAGGGCAGTTTCCACTTATTTCAGAAGTTAACATTCCAAATATGGAATATTACTGTTGAGCACTTAGGATAGTTCGAATGGTTAACATTGTATAACCTCTTTAATTCAACCATAATTTTTCTGGGACCACAAGGGTTCCATACCGACTTAGGAAGAGGCAGAGCCAAAGATGTAACGTGAATATACTGATGTCAGTTCTTAATGATTGCATATATCCTTAATAAACTGCTAGATTTCATGGTTAGGTGTACGTAAGTCTGCTCAAATCAGCTCAGCACTATAGTGTACACAATTTGCCCTTTAACAGCTTAGAACTATAGTCGGTTTCCAATCTACTGTGGGATAATTAAGAACAGTAATACTGTAATAGTATATCTATCTCACCAATTCCTTTTTATTTTTCAAGATAAGTTAAAAAAATAATTCTCAGAATGTGGCTTAATTTTCTACTTGTGAATGAAATACAGTTCGTATGGTGAATAGATAACTAGAACTGTGCTGTAATATTACCTAGCATGCTTAAAGGGACTTGAGACTGATTTCTCATTGAAATGAGATTTGCAATAAATGAATTCTATTATAAAGCACATCAAATTCAGCTATTAATGTATGATTTATTAGGGCAGACCACTTCCACAATAATCTCCAATCTTTTAGGTGATATTATACCCCCAGCAATAAGGACTCAATATAAGGGCTGAGGGGAGAGGATCTGCTTCTTAAAAAGACTTAAGCATTCCGTCTCAATGCCTATTCTGAAGATTGACTGAAGCCAATCTACCTTTCCCACATACAGTAAATTGGTGCCACTTTAAATTGAATTTGTTCACTTTTTTGGTATATAATACTCTGAGGTCCAGATTTATCAACAGGGAACCCCCATGGATTTTGTATCAGAAAGTGTGAGTCAGACCTCTCCCACTTCAGGTAACTTACAAACCAACTCATTTTTCAAGCTTGAGGTTTACAGAACCCTTTCACATTAAAAATATAGTTGATAAATAAGGCAGTATATATTCTATCACTATATGAACGCAGTACAAGATGGTAAATTAAGTCTGCAATTAATGGCAGTTTTCAGAAAGGAAGCTAGTCTATGGCATGCAAATGAATTTGTGTCAAAGTAGCTATTGAAGCTTTATTTCAATAAAAAAAAGTTTGTTCTCAACACAGAAAGGTACTTCACCTTTTATAATTTATTTAGTTTATAGGAGTACAGTGGCCAATAGGAAGGACTTTAAAAAGTGGCAAGGAAATGCAATCAGATAACTGGGGAGATACTGTAGCCATGCTAAGCATTAAATTATACAGCATCCCTTAAAAAACATTGTCAACTTATTTAATGCCCTTGCAAATTCTTGCCTTTTATTGCAGAATGCCTGCAATCCTAAAGATTGAAATGTAGCTGAAGCCATGTGTCTCTTTGTAGAAATACTTGAAGTGTTGACAACTAGGGGCATGCAGCATTTTGCTTTTAAACTCCAAAAGGTACTTTGAGACATATTGCTTCTTAAAGCAGACACAAGCAATCTTGGGAAACAGTATAGCTGTACTAAGATGTTGCATAGTGTTACTTGAATTGTTTTTGAATTTCTTCCTAAGACGTTTGCTATAACACTAAGTCTAGTAATAGAAAATGATTTTTAATAGTCTGGAAGTGGTTTTATTCCTCATATAAGAGGCTAAGCGTGTGGTGCAGTGTGGAAGTTTTTGGACTAGGATCAGACCCAGATTTAAGTTTTCCCTTAGCCATAGAATCTGAGTGATTTTGGATCAGTCACTTTCATCTATTTTATAAGGTTAATTTAGGGATAAGAGGCACCAACTTCATATTGAATTTCATGAGAAAAAGGAGATAAAGAAATAAAATGTGGAATAAACCTTAAGGCTATGTTTGTTCTGTAAAAGAGTGGTTAACTGCTTTAATTTAAATAATTTTTAACAAATTATTTAATAAATAATTAATAATTTTTAATAATCCCTTGCAACTTTGACAGATAACAAAAATTGTTCTCAGTGAATTCTGTACAAGGGACCAGACCTAATACAATTTTGTCTTAAAATTTTGTTTTGGAGAACAATAATACTGCTCTTGCCCAAATGATACTTTATCTGACAGAGAAGAAGTACCTAATCGCTTTGTTAAATAATTCCAGACTGGAGCCAAGTGGCCATCTGAATTTGTCTTGGGCTTATCCTTAAATAGTTAGCTGTGCCTGGATTAAGACACAATAGCATCCTGCAGTATGAATTAACAGATCATATCAATATATAGTACAAAACCAGACAAGCAGCTTCTTTGATACACCATTTCAAGTCATTAAGATTGTGCCTAAACCACATAAGTCTACTGCGGGCAGTCTAGTAGTAACAAGTTAATATATCCTTGCACAGCATTTGGATACAACACTAAGGCATTTGTTTGGAGTTTGCTTTTTAACATGCACTTGAAATATTAACAGAAGCAAATAACATTATAGCAAAGTTAGAAACACATTTTATTTCATGTGCCCATAAAAAGACATTTTTAAGATCATAGGATGTTGTTACATACAAGAAATTGTGCACTATAGTCTACTGTAGCAGCTTTTACAGATTTTACTAAAAGATCCAGATCCTTGCTGCATTAATCCTAGAAAAGATTTTCTTCAGCGAACTAAATCCTTACATTTCTCAATAAAGAAATCCCTTAAAATTACGTAAACAATACTTTTCCTAACACGTTCTTTGCCATTCTAATCCAGTCTTTCAGGACTGATACTTCTTCGAGGGCTTCCCGATGGTGAACGGCTAGAAATAAAAAAAGAAGGGGCAAAGAGAAACCAAGTCACAAGAAGTTAATAAAAAGTTTGACTAGATTAATGGATTAGTGTTATAATCAGGCCCATTATTACTTCTAGGGCAATAATAAATTTAACCTTAATGCTTAAGTTATTTGGGTTATTTTTGTAAAAGAACATGTTAGAAATCAAGTGGAAACCATGTAAATTTTTAATGTGAAATACCAAAGCAAAATTTCCACAATTCATGCACCCCCTTTCCCACAAGAAAGTATAGCCAAGCTTTCAAAGCATTCAAGAAGCAGCATACTTACCGTGAATTAATGGAGAATGGATATAAATGGCTCATATCAAAACTGAAAAAGCAAGACTGAAGATTAAATCAAGTAAAATGCTTTTAAATACATTTCTAATTTGGATTAAACATCTAGATTTATTTTGCTTGGATAACTAACTGTCATTCAAAATATAGATTATTCTGCACTATAGCAGAGTTACTCCCAAAGTTTATTTAGGGCCAGTTATAACTCTATACCTTCTCAGTCTGACTATGAGCCATTTAATTTTATTGTCCATTAAAACAATCAAGATAATGTGCTCAATAATTTAATATAAGTAAGAACTTCCTATTTTGGAATGAGGCTCTGAATACTAATTCACACTAGTAAAAGTTGCAAAAATTTTACTGTTATGTATCTATAACATTTTTTTAGTTAGATGAAGAACCTCACAATACAATATTTCTGTATTCTCCACAGATCTATGCAGAGACCATTACTATAAATTACTTTTTCTTAGTTAACTGTAACAATATAAGTAATTCAACCTACAGATTTAACTTACCTTCTCTTTAAAGATGGTGATCGTGATTTAGAGCGGCTGTTGAAATATCAATTAATCTTGATTAACATTAACATACTCACTAATTTATTTTACAGTCCTGATTCTTATTTTACAAAATGCAGGTTTAATCTGATGGTAAGAAACATTTTGCAACAGTTTCTTTACCAAATATTTGGAGCCAAAAGGACACTCCACAAATACAAAGTTCATAATATAGATGTCTTCAAAGTATAAATTGTGTGCATGTGCACATATAAAAAAAGACTACGGCCATTTTTCTTCAAATATAGCAAAGGCTAAATAAACAAAAAATCTGTTATTTTCAAATTAAGCTAAAGTTTCTAACAGTGGTTAAGGATTAACTACCCAGAGCAAATTTCACATTTGTTATTTTAAATGTCCACAAATGGAAGTTTACCTGCTTCTGGGACGTGAAACGGACCTCGACCTCGACCTGGATCTTGATCGAGACCTGGGGTTTAAAAAAAAAAAAGGAATTCAATACTGGTGTCCCCAGTTCCTGAATATTTCATATAAGTCAAAAAACTCAATGTGATTATTCCAGATTACTTGGGTAAATAGAAATATCAATATGCTATTGAAGTAAGATTCTAGAGAGGCAGCTATAATATACAGGTGAAACTCGAAAAATTAGAATATCGTGCAAAAGTTCATTTATTTCAGTAATGCAACTTAAAAGGTGAACCTAATATATGAGATAGACTCATTACATGCAAGATAGCTCAAGCCGTGATGTGTCATAAGTGAGATGATTATGGCTTACAACTCATGAAAACCCCAAATCCACAATCTCAGAAAATTAGAATATTGTGAAAAGGTTCAATATTCTAGGCTCAAAGTGTCCTACTCTAATCAGCTAATTAAGTCATAACACCTGCAAAGGGTTCCTGAGCCTTTAAATGGTCTCTCAGTCTGGTTCAGTAGGAATCACAATCATGGGAAAGACTGCTGACCTGACAGTTGTGCAGAAAACCATCATTGACACCCTCCATAAGGAGGGAAAGCCTCAAAAGGTAATTGCAAAAGAAGTTGGATGTTCCCAAAGTGCTGTATCAAAGCACATTAATAGAAAGTTATCTGGAAGGGAAAAGTGTGGAAGAAAAAGGTGCACAAGCAGCAGGGATGACCGCAGCCTGGAGAGGATTGTCAGGAAAAGGCCATTCAAAAGTGTTGGGGACTTTCACAAGGAGTGGACTGAGGCTGGAGTCAGTGCATCAAGAGCCACCACACATAGATGGATCCTGGACATGGGCTTCAAATGTCGTATTCCTCTTGTCAAGCCGCTCCTGAACAACAAACGTCAGAAGTGTCTTACCTGGGCTAAAGAAAAACAGAACTGGTCTGTTGCTCAGTGGTCCAAAGTTCTCTTTTCTGATGAGAGCAACTTTTGGAACCAAGGACCCAGAGTCTGGAGGAAGAATAGAGAGGCACGCACTGCCAAAAGCACCAAAACCTGGTTCAATGACCGCGAGATTACTGTGCTTGTTTGGCCAGCAAACTCGCCTGACATTGCCAAGAGAAAGATGAGAGACATGAGACCAAACAATGCAGAAGAGCTGAAGGCCGCTATTGAAGCATCCTGTTCTTCCATAACACCTCAGCAGTTCCATAGGCTTAGCTTCCATGCCACGCCGCATTGAGGCAGTAATTGCTGCAAAAGGAGCCCAAACCAAGTACTGAGTACATATGCATGCTTATATTTTTCAGAGGTCCGATATTGTTCTATGTACAATCCTTGTTTTATTGATTGCATGTAATATTCTAATTTTCTGAGATTGTGGATTTGGGGTTTTCATGAGCTGTAAACCATAATCATCTCACTTATGACACATCACGGCTTGAACTATCTTGCTTTGCATGTAATGAGTCTATCTTATATATTAGGCTCACCTTTTAAGTTGCATTACTGAAATAAATGAACTTTTGCACGATATTCTAATTTTTCGAGTTTCACCTGTACAATCATTTACCAGGGGTTCCTTTCAGTTTAAAACAGCCAGAAAACTGCAAATTTTAAGACTCCAAATCTATAAAATTCTATATGGTGTTTCCCCCGCCACAAGCATTTCTTCCCTCAGCAGTCATTTGGCAACAAAAAAAAGTATTTGATTCTCCTCACTGTCACAACAGATCTCACTGGATGAGTCTAGTTGCAAGGCTTCATGTAGCTTGCTTTCTTAAAAGTGACAGGTTCAACTGGTAATGGAATTTTTTCACTGTTTATTTTTATGCTCTATCTTTCATTATATCAGTGGAGAGGCTTTTCACTCACACCAATTGGATGCTAGTGCTGCCAGCATCTGATGGTGAGTGATTTCTCAATGTGCCAATGGATGCCACTGATCACCAGAGTACCTGCAACTCACTCTCATAATAAGCAATCTAAAGAATAGTATAGTTCAGTAAACTAAGAGCACTCAAAGCAGGAAAACCAGCATTAGCTACATACAGTGAATGCTCTCAATCACCAGCCAAACTACTCCAAAAGCAAGCTATCACTTGCCTGAGCCAGATTCATAACACTGTACAAACAACTTAATCCTTAACACATGCAAAAAGATCATCCACTACAGGTAGTCCTCAACCTATTACCAGAACCGAGCCCAAACCTTCTGATCACATGACCCCAGCACACACTGCATCACAAGTCAGTTACCAAGCATCCAAAGTTTGATCATGTGACCATGGGTGTGCTGCAATGGTCATTAAATGTGAAAAATGGTCATAATTCACTTTTTTCAGTGCTATCATAACTTCAATCACTAAATTAACAGTTATTAAGTTGAGTACTACCTATACTGTACACATAAATTCAGAACACTGACAGTTGTTAAGCTGATTTGTATACACAGGAACATTGCAGCATCAAAAACTAAGAACTGCCTATTTTACAATCATAAATATTAACCAAATTACCTTGATCTTTTTAAAGAACCTGAACGGGATCTACGTGGCGATACAGATCTGGATCTACGAGGAGACAGAGATCTAGATCTGCGAGCTGAGACAGACCTGGATCTAAATGGAAACAGATTTACAGTTATACTATTCTTTGCCTGCTAAAGCTAGAATGCTCCACATATGTAAATGCTTACCTCCTGCCACGACTTCGGCTGCGTGAGCGAGAGTATCTTCTTCCTCTGGACCTTGAATGAGACCGAGACCGTGACCTAGTTTTAGTTATAGGGAAAAAAATTAATTACACATTCAACAATTAGCATGTGAGCCCTCGCTGAAGCCAAAACATCAGCTATCTAAAAATTAGTGTCCATCAGATGAAAAAAATCAGGGCCTAATTGTCTTGAGTATTTTTACTACCTAATAAAAGATAAAATGTATAACATTTAGAATTACATAATAATATAAAACACTGTAATGTGTATTTAAAATAAACCTTGCAAGTTTGCAGGTCGACCCTCTTTGGCCCAAGGTCTAGCAGATCTAGACGATCTAGAAGTATCTATAGCCGATCGCTGCATCTAGGTGTTCTCTTCAATCTAACGACGATCAAACTGACAGCCAAATGAGCCAGGTGAGGCTTGATTGACGCAGGAAGATTTTTCTAGGTGGGAATGTGGTCAATCTGGTGTTCCTCTTTTTAAACCGGAGGGGGGCCCAATTGAAAGCCAAATTTACTGTTACGGCGATCACCGTCTCATTTTTTCTGCCCTTTAAAGAATAAGGTGAAGCTACGTGTAGATGGCTCGAGGGGATCTGGCCTCTTATGCTGATCACCTCAAGGTCTAGGAGGATCTTAATTGTCGGATTTGCAAGGCGCCTCAGCATGAAATCTTAAGGCTCGTGACATTCTGAATCAAGGCGACTGACTCAAACGAAGAAACCTGAAAGGTTTTGATCAGGTTGATTATTAACATATTAACATTTTAATACAAAATATAAACAAATGTAACATACCCATATAATTATACTATTTTTAAAATGCTTTATTAATATTTTACTAATCAAAATTACACATAACTTAAAGACAAGATATTTGTATCCACACATACCTGCTTCTTCTCCGACGACTATAACGATGACAATCATAAGCATAATGACCTTTCTCGCCACACTCATAACATCTATCATTAGGATCAAATGGTCGTCGAGCTGGAGGTCTATCATAGCGAGACCTACGAGGCATACCAGTTGATAATTCCACTCTAACCCTAGAACCACAGATCACCCTACAAGAGCAAAACATTTCAGTCAACATACCTAACATAAAAATGGAAGTTATTTCACAAATAAATTTTTATTCCTACTTACTTTCCATCTAGACCACGAACAGCATCTTCAGCATCCCTTGGGTCTTCAAATTCAACAAATGCAAACCCGGGAGGGTTTCGTGCAATCCACACAGTACGTAATGGTCCATAGTAGCTGAAAGCCCTTTCAAGTTCTCCTTTACCAGCACCTGTTCCTAAGTTACCAACGTACACTTTTGTTTCTGCAAAAATAGAAAACAGTGATTTCCAAAACGTTTAGTCATCTTAAGATCAGTTCAAGTAGAAAAACATACTTAATGGAGCATAAGTTTCACTACAGTTGAGGAACCTTATTTTACAATACACTAAGTCTTCCAGATGAATTTAACCAAGTTATCTACTTCCTGTAAAAAGCGTTTCTTAGCATACTGGATATAGTAGTGATTTTTTAGGTTTGGTGATCACCGCTGTGCTGTCAACGCTACTGTCTATTTTACAATTTATTTTTATTCGCCTTACACTGGCTGTTTTCACAAAAAGGCAAAAGTAGCCGTCCTCCGCTCTCACACGGAGCTCCAGTCAACTACTCCAGGGCTTTTCAACCAGTGGTACGGGTACCACCTGTGGTACATTGGCACCTGGCAGTTGGTACGCAACCATCCTAGAAAAGTGGTAGCGGGGGTGGGGAATGAGCTGAACCAGTGGCAGCACCGCACAAGCCTGAGCAAGAGACGGCTGGAGCTGCAGGGCTTTCAGGGCTCAGCGGAAGCGCCAGGATCGGCGCTTCTTTGGGACTGTCAGGGCTCAGCGGAAGCGCCAGGATCCAGCTGGAGCTCGGTGCTGATCCTGGCGCTTCTGCTGAGCCCAGAAGAAGCGCCGATCAGCTGGAATGTTGCAGCATCTCCAGGGTCTTGTGATTTACATTCAGATGCTTGGCAAACTGATTCATATTTATGACGCTCACAGTGTCCCAGGGTCATGTGAAGTGACCAAAACCTGCTGCAACCCCCCAGCAGACAGGGGGAATCAAAACCAAACATCCCCCCACCCCACCTCCGCTGCCAATCCTCAACAGAAATGCTCACAACAATGAAAATCTTGGACAGGAGGAAGAGCGCTGCCGGGCGGGCAGGCAGGTGTCTTGCTCGGCTGTGGCTTGTGGGGCACTTTTTTCAGTGCCATTGTAACTTCGAACAGTCACTAAGTGAACTGTTGTAAGTTGAGGACTACCTGTACTTTATCACTTTTTTCCTTTTTTGGGGGGGGGGGTCATCATGTTTTTGATACTGTGCTAGGCGATTGGTGGTACTCGGATATTGCCATCTCCTAAAAGTGGTACAATGAGTGAAAAGGTTGAAAAGCCCTGAACTACTCCACCCACTCGGGCCCAGCAAGCCGCTAAATCCCAAGGCCAAGAAGGCATAGCGGCACTCATGCTCCATCGCGCGCCTGCGCACTAGGCCACCACCGCTTCCGGGCGGTAAGACACACGCGGCTACTCCGGTGCAAGCCCGCCCGATGCCGCCGTTTCCCCCACCGTCTTCCTGCCCCGCCGATCACGGGCGCCGCCATCTTTAGTACCGCCTCCATTTTACCCGTACACCGGTAGTAGCATTTAACAGAAAGGGAGAAAAAAAAAATTCAATGAAATCCTTAAATGCCTGCCTGTCTCCACTAACCTGTCCCTCAAGCAAACCAGCAGCGTATTTGCGCATTTCGGCTTAGTAATCCCAACTCGAAAGAAGTTCGCCTCGGTACATCCAGCGACTATAACATGTGCAAAATGGCGCCGGATAATTTCCTAGCGGGGCTTAACCTTATAGATACAGCTTGGTATCGTCAGAGAAGTGAACTCGCACCACCCGATACGGAGAACGGACACACACATGCAGATGACACCTTCCTCGCACCACGCTTGAATTCTCACCGCTTACCTCCACCGTAACGGCTATAGCGCGACATCCCTTCATCAACGAAAAAAAACAACTGTCGCTGAGCGCATGCGGGTTGTAGTCCTTATATAGATTGCGCCGTTATTGCGCACGCGCAGTATAATTGTGAGACCGTAGCGGACTGGCGAGGCGGGAAAAAAGAGTTTTGGTTGCCATAGTAACGTTAGGCTGAAAAAAGGGGAGGAGATGGGAAAGAGGCTGTGACGCCATTTTGAGCGACGTTAAGTGCCCCTTAAAAAGGCGCGTTTAAAATATCGCTCGTTTTAGCTTTAAAGCCGTATTAACAGCGGCCGCTATTAGCCGTAGTGAATATGCATTTTTAAAAATCGATTGAGGATCGAGATTCTACCAGACTGTAGAGCGCTAGGGAAACTAACTTACTGAGTTTTTTTTTCCTAATTTTTACTTCACTTCTCTAATATTTATCAGAACCCTTGCCTATATTTAATTATTTGTTATCAGTGCCATCTCAGTTGACCTTAAAAATAACACAAACGCCGAACATGGTTAGTATCTGGGTGGGCGATCACTAAAAACTGTAAAACTCTGGGCTAGATCCGGAAGAGCTGCAGAAGCAAGCCAACCAAAGCCACTTCCTGCTCTTGTCAAAACAATATCCATAAAGCCGCCAAAATTCGAGGTCCAGCCAGTGTTTCTCAACCTTGACAATTTTAAGGCATGTGGACTTCAACTCCCAGAATTCCACAGCCAGCAATGCTGGCTGTGGAATTCTGGGAGTTGAAGTCCACATGCCTTAAAATTGTCAAGGTTGAGAAACACTGAGCTACGGGAAACATTTTTACCTTTAAAATAATTGTCTTTTCGAAGCAGCTTACCTAACTAACAAAGCTTTCACATTCATCCCAAATAAGATCACCAATATATAACGAGGACCAGAAGACAAATCTTTTAAAAGGTGAATCCTAAAAATCCGGAGCAGAAAGAGGAACTATAAAGTAACCGTGGAAATGGAATCGCCTCTTAGTAAATGCCTAATTGTGTTCTGAAACAGATAACCAAAGAAACGTGAATTCCGCCGGGAATCAGTTTTTCAAAGCTTTTTTTTTTTTTTTAATCGTAGCGATTCTACGACTCTAATATTCTAAAAAGGACTTCTCCCATTCAGTTCCGACTCTCGTCTTGAAAGGCTCCTCAGAAACAACCGGCTACGGAAGGGGAATAAAGAGGCCCCGGGAGCGCAGTGCATTCTGGGTCCCAGAAAGGACGGCCCGGCCGGAGCATGGCGGTATCGCGCTGTCTTTAAAGGCTTCTCTGAATGGCGGCTGGTGAAGCTGGATGTTTGTTTTCAAGGATGTGTGTGAGTGCTACCTCTACTTAAATAACAAGAATAGCTGAGAAGGGGTAGAATTATATAAAATTTGGTGTATTTATATGTTATAGAAGAATAATGCAATGGTTCTTCTTTTTTTGAGAAGAGGAGATGATCGGCTAGTACCCCTAAACTGCACCCGAAGGATGTGGAAAAGAAGGTGATGGGATGTGTAGGATGGTTGGAGAGGAGGAAGGAGGAGAGAGGTGTGGGTAGGAGGGGGAGGAAGGAGAGGGAAGTAGGTAGGAAGGTTGAGGAGTGAGGGTGGATGCAGGGGGGGACGGACCGCCGATCATTTCTGAAAATATATTGATTAGGATTTTCTTTTTGTTTTTTAATGAAATGCATCACATTTGTATTAATTGTTTATATGTTTCTTTGAAAATTAATAAAAACTTGTAAAAAAAAAAAAAGAATAGCTGCAATCTTGCAGTCCAGCTTTTTTTTAAATAAACGCCCTGTATATATTTATAGGTTTGACTATGCAGTAAGAACCGCGAGGGAAAACGTTGCGTTCGTAACTGCAGGTTTTCCGGACCTGAAATTAATGTATGTGTTGGGGTTCATACCTTCAGAAACATTGGTTGGTTCAATACTATCGAACAGTAATCTTGAGGAAAGATTATTCGATGGAATGATATTGCAACCTCATCTTCGATACGGAAGATTGATTAGCAAAAAAAGATTTCGATGATACGGATGGCTAAAGTCATAATTATTGTTATGACTTTATTATGTTATGCCCTGAATTTCCTTGGAGCAAAGTTTGTGGAGCATTCTCTCCTCTTTGCTGCCAGAACGATCTTCCTGTCTGACTCTCCACTCCAATAAACTACAACCTTCTTCCCAAAGCAGTTGCCATGTTTATTCCCAGCTTGGATGAACCAGGATGAAGACTTTTTTTTCCAACACAAGGAGCCCCCTGTTTGCTCCACTCTTGGTTAAGCTCTGTGACTTGGGCAGTCACTCTTCCAATTCACAGGGTTATGGAAAATATGGGAGGAGAGAGTGCTATGTGTACAACTTGAACCCTGAGGAAAGGCAGGATATGTCAAATAACAAATAAGCAATAATTAATTGTTAAACTAGCAAATTTTAAAAGTGCCAAGAATTGTTTAGAATTTGGTGGCACCAAATCAGACCAGTCAATTAAACTGAAGAGAACCAATAAGAATTTACTTAAACATATTTGAAAAAAAACAACAGCAACAAACCAGCCAGAAAAGTGATTGAACTGGAATTGCTAAAGCAAAGTAGCCTACTGGTAGCCTAAGATAAGTTAACAGCATTCTAAAACATTTGGAAAGATTGTATAGTAAAAAATCAAACAAGTAGACATTCCCCAAATGTAGAATTGTTGATATCATAGCAAAAATATGTAACTTGTGCAGTCCTCTGCTGAAAGGTAGGCAGCATAACAGTAATTCTTAAAAAGGGCTCCAGGAGATCCTAGAAATAATAGGCTGGTGAAGATAAATTAGTGGAAAGTGTAATCAAAAGAAAAATAACTAAGCAGTAAAGGAATAAGCCTCTTTAAAAAAAATTACAAGCCTCTTTAAAAAAAATTACCGTTGATTCTGCAAAAGTAATCCTGCTTCACAGTCTATTTTTTTTTAGTGCGCAGGCAGATAGATGGAGGTGACTTTGTAACCTTGCACACCTGGATTTTCAAAAAGTCTTTGACATAATCTGTAGACTTATAAGATTTGTGTTTAAGAAAGAACTGGGTACGTTTTTGAAGTGCTGGTCTATCAAGAGCTATTAATCTTGAGATTCAGTATTACAACTGGACTCCAGGTAGTATGCATTCCAACTATCAATGTCAGGGGAATAATAGCCAGGGAGGGATATAACTGCTGCTTGTGAGCATTTCGTAGGCAGCGATTAGCCACTCTTAATAAATATCCTGGACTAATATGAACCTTGACTTGATCCAGCAGGGTCATGTTATTCTTAATCATGCAAATAGGTAAGTTTTCCTAATACAGAGGCAAAGGATATTGCTGGCAATGATGCTTTGTTTTCTCATAGGTTCAGTAAAAAGGAAATATGACTGAATGGCAGAGGAAAACTCCTTTGGAATGGCTAGCTTTTGTGGATAAAGAAGTCAAAGTACTGGCTGCTGAGAAACACCAATATAAAGGATGGGTTTTAACAGTTGACCCAGTTTCTGCCAAGTATGTATCAGTGAGTTCTATATAGAAATACTTTTTCAGAGAAAGAATGTGGGTTAAGGGATAATGAAGGGGATGAATGATTATAATGTATAAAATGAAAAGCAAATTAGAATGGGAGATTGTATGCCTAAACAGAATACAAATGAAATCTTAATGCAAACATATTAAATATTTCTGTCTGGATAGACATTTGAAAATATGTAGGTAATTTCAGGAAAAAGGGGTTACAACTAATAAATGGTGACAAGACTTATTAGTAAACTTATTCTACATTGTCAGGTTTTTAAATTTTTTTGTCAGTTATTCAACCATTTCCATACTTGTTGATCTAGTGAAATATATATGCCAATTTTTCAGTTTTTGCAGTGATGAACCTAGCAGTTAACAATGGGGGAAAATCATTTTTTGTTGATTTGTATATCAAGACATAGGCAATATGACAGTAAATCAACAGTTATGTTTATTGTAAAAATAATTACCCATGTCTTTTAAAATGTTTAGATAAGGGTAATTGTACATTAACACCATGGAAAAATTTTAATTTATATGAATACTTTTACTGTAAGCCATCTATTGATTTTTGTGATCAATTCCTATTGAGTTGTTAAAATAGAATTTAAAAGAATTCTGTGCCATAAAGAATTCTGGTGACTCATCAGATTCAAACTCCAAATAACCTTCCCCTTTGAAAAGAACACTATTATATATGCATTGTAGGAGGACACATATATATGTGCGCGCACACACACACACACACACACACACACAATGAGAGATCAGTTCCTCAAAGCTACAAAGTAGCTGATTCAAGGACCCTCCTGTCATCTTCTGGCAAATATATGTGCATCCACCAAAAGACATCTTTTGGGATAGCTGATGAAGTAATCACTTCATGGCACACACAATGGAGGCGATTTGAAACAACTTCTTCATGACTTTAAGGACCAAAGCTGGGGGATACCTTGCTCAGGACCAAAATGCTTCATCAAATGATTTGCACAATATTAACATTAGATATAAGAATATTTAAAGCATATGTAAAATGGATGGTAATTGACCTTACATCTTAGCATGATGTCAATTGAAAATGTGATAAGTCTGATGAAAAATAATAGTACCAAACATGCAACATACATTATGCATATGATGTGATTGAAATATTTTATGAGTCTAACTGGAGAGCCCTCATTTATTCTGGCTTTTGATCTTGATCTAATAGTTACACACTTCAAGGATTGCTAATGCAACTCAAGCCCCAGGTTTATTGAGCAACTTGTGGGATGGCTTGTAATGCCATAGCAATTTCAGTTTTTTTCATTGGGAATGCAGCTGTTTCATTCTGATTTAAACTTTTTTGATACAGCATCATTGTCAAAAGACTGATAGAAAGGCCTAGTATGCATGAAAAGCCAACTAGCAAAGTGATCACTTAACACACTGGTGTCAAACTAGATCGCATCACGTGACATCGTGACGTATTGTGACATTTGCCTTTGTGGAGCCAGGATGGGTGTAGCCTGTGTATGACACATCCGGCCTGCAGGCCGCCAGTTTTGACACCCCTGACTTAATATATCCTCATATGAACCTTTTATTCTTGACAGCATTCTTCTGGCAAATCCCCTCGAGAATGGAAAAGTATCTGTTTTAGTTGTTTTAGGACATGCTGTGCAAAATATTGAAATAGTGACCGAAAGAGATGATGAAATCAAAGAAAAACTTGCATATCTCTTCATGGCTGGAAAAAGTCAAACTTATAATCAAGAAGAGCTGGACAGAAAGAAAAACTCCTTGAAGAATTGGCTGGAGAAAAACCACATCCCTGTAATAGAACAAGGAGAATCACAACCAACGCTGTGTGTGGCAGGTGTATTAACCATTGATCCACCATATGGACCAGAAGATTGCAATAGCTCTAATGAAATAATTTTGTGTAGAGTTCAAGGATTGATTCAAAACTATCTTGCACTTCAGCAGTGAGGCATATAGATTTCATTATACTTAAAACACTTAATTTTAATTTTAATTAAAATTTAGGAATACTTAATAGTTAATGGTCAGCCAGTGTTTCCAAATTTTGTTTTGTATACAAATAGCAATTGTAGCGGTTGTGCTGGTTTTTTATATATTTTTATATAAAAATATTTTGACTTTCCCGCCCCAAGTTCCTGCAAAGTTGATTTGTATATATAAAATAAAGTTAAAAATAAGTCACATTCTTATTCTATTCAGTCTCTTAAGTTGAAACCAAAGTATTAATGTTTCTGAAGAACATGGGACAGTAATAAAAGTAATAAAATATTTTGGACAGGGTTTTTTCCTATGAATATGCAGCCAATTTCACAATTGAAAGTACTGCATAGTAAGTTCTAGAAGTTTATTTTCTGCACATAGCCAAGTCCTTTGAAGATATTGAAAAAGGACATTTTTCTATGTAAGTCATTTTCAGATGCAATATGACAATATTTTGCTTGACTTTAATATTATCTACTACCACAAAGCCATTTATGTGCACATGTAGGTTCCTTTGAATGGTCAGACCATCGATAGAAAATTAAAACATGCTTTGGTTGCATCTGTGGGGTTTGTAATTTAACATAGCTGCAGGGCATCATGTTGAAAAAGGCTGAGCAGACAATTGTGTTTCCAAATATGGCATGTGGGAATGATAGTGCACTTGAAGACCCAATGTTTGCTATCTACATAGTCCTTGATAGTTCACTTCAATATTCATGAAACTTATTGGTCACTACATTTTCAAGTAATAAGTAGTTGGGGTGAAACACTGTTAAAAAATATAAATTCAGTATAATAGGTGTCCTAAATATTAATTTATTTTTAAACTCTAAGAAATTCATAAGGAACTTTATTGACATATTTCCAAAATGTTTGACTGGAATTCACAAGATTTTCCTTATTTTGGTAGAAGTTTGCAAAAACTTTGGGCTCTGTTAATAAGCTCCCAGATGAAATCCCTAAGTTGATCATAAAATAAGTTTTGTTATAATTAAATTTCTCAATCACTTTTCTGTCCTGGATAGAATTGTGCTCAAAAATTTAGGAGGTAGCCGTTTCCCAATATAGGTGTAATATAAATCCTTTCATCATCATTTTTGCAAAACTACCTTCCCTCCCTCACTATATCCACAAATCAAACCACAATGCTTTGAGCAGTTTCAAATAGAATATAATTTTCCTGAAAAGAATGACAACTATTGATTTTGAGAATTCCTTTATTTATTACAATATTTATATAATTGTATATAGTTTACATCATCAGGCTCCAATACTGTATTATTTGAGAATAAGTAGTGGGTTCTTGCAAACTTAGGCCAATTTTATGCTTAAATTATTCCATAACTTGTATCACTATATTTGAACTCTAGCAGCCAACACTGATTGACTAAATGAAAGCAGATGTAAATTTACTGAAATTGGACAGGATTCGTTTTTGGACACAGCAATGTAGAAACCATGACTATGGTATATTTCATGCACTGCCTTTTTGGGAAGGGGAAAGACAAATTAACATCCTGCCAGACTATCATAGAGTCAATCCTTTATTGAACAGAAAAAAGGAATGGGGAATCATTAAACATTAAATGTGTGATCTGTTTATGAATTATTTTCTGAATGCTTATTCCTTGCTTTGCAAAAGGAATTTTATTTTATTTTATTTTAAATATGCAAGCTCCTTGTGTAAATGTGTATCAGTTTCTATCATGATTCTAAAACTGTTTAGAGCTACTTTAAAAACAGGCTTTTAAATTGGATATTTAGGCTTCCAAATAGCTGTACAAGGGCAAGTGCTACATTTCATTTTTCTGTCATTAACGTTAGAAGAAAGCCATCCTCAGTAGCTAATGCTATTGTGTCGTCACGAGTTTTACAATCAAGCTAATAATCCGAGATCCTCGAGGGCAAGTGCACAGATCCATGCTGGGGTTTTTAATTTTTTCCTGGAGTAGCTGGTCAAGTTCATTGCGAAGTTCTTTCACTAGTTCTGCTACCTGAAATCACAAATATGCACCCAAAATAAAGTTCTGGATGAGGTTTCTAATAGCAGCCACTCAAAACACTTCATAAGCACAGTATGAAGGACATAGCCATTCCTTTATGCTACCTCTGACTCTGGAAGCTCTATTCACTATTTTCTCTTTCTGAATAGCAGTACATTGTGCGGTATTTGCTATACATTGCATCACCAAATATTGAATACCCCCTTTTCCAAATTTCTGATGTGGCAGGAGGATAGTGGTTCAAGAACGACACCTTGTTTGATTTTTAGTATGCTTGCAACTGTAGGTCTTTGTACAAGTCCCACTGAGTAAAGTATTGCTTGAAACTATAATTACATTGACCTTACATGTATCCCAATGTTCTAAATTAGGACAGAAAGAATGAAATGCAAAATACATACATGGAAGGCTATGCATATCAACCTTGCAGTGTTTTCTATATGTTAACTTGGATTTTTTTATGCTCTGCACAGAAATGTTAAACATACTGATTAGTCTTGAGTATTTTTCTTTATGTTGTTTACAAGGTTAGTTTATCTACCTATACAAGTTGATTGCATCATACAATCAAAATGTTTAAAACCACCAGAAATGTGTTAATGCGTTTTTAAGAAGGTGAAAAGCTGTTTCCCACAATTACATGCTTTCCTTCTATCTTTAAATGGGAAGAAAGTATGTCACTTGGTAAATGGCTGACCGTACAGACTTCTTTTTGCCACACCTCAGGAATGAGGCGACAAAGCTGTTGCCCGCATATGAGGTAAAAGACAGCAGTTCTGGGAGTGAGGGGCAAAAAGAGTGGCAAGAGATTCTACCTACCACTCTTCTGGCCCTCACTGAAGATTACCTATATCTATGTGGAAATATCTGGAATTTGTGAAGCAATAATAGCAACATGGCTGAAGGAGGCAGGCATGCTGGCCATCTACAACATGAGTGGCTGCTGCTGACACAGGCAGAGAGGCCATGCGCAATAGGCTGGAGGGAAAGATAGGGATTAATCATAATAAGAGCAGAGTTTATCAAGAGGCATAGCCTTCAGGTGGAATCCATTCCTCAATGTCACTGGTCCCATCAGACCCCTCTTCCCTCAAATGTCTCTGAATGCTGGGCAAGGCTTGGTTTTCTCTGGCAGCAGAAATGATTATGGAAGCCCAGAATCCACAACCAAGTGTGAGAGGGTAATGCTGTAGCAAGCAAATCATGACTTTTCTCAGGCCTCTCTTTCATCTGACACTTTAAAAACACATCTCTACTCTCCTGTTTCTTTTATTTAGCCTATCTCTGAAACAGGCTGGCTGTGAGATGATAATGCTATCATGACGATAGGCATATATTAGCATAATAGGCCTATTTCATTGATGGTGATTATCATTTATCTTACTATACAATATTGTAATTGCAACATTATTGCATGAGACATATACACAGTACCATATCGGTCTGTAGTATGCCAGTGAACTGCAAAACAGTGGTTCTCAAGCAATGAAGGCATCTATATCCACGAAGAAGGCATTGTTCTTAAATCACCTATCTACTTTGAGGCCATAAAGAAATTGGTCCTTTTCAATGTAGGAAATTTTAAAAATTAGACAAAATGCTGCTCATTATATTGTAAGTGCCTTCTAGAACAGATACATTTTTCCATGTCGGCCTTAGGGACCAGTCCAGAAGGGGGTATTCTTTAAGGAACAGAACCTGTTCCCTGTATTGATATAGAAAGTTGTACAAGGCATCACCATCCACTACTTCAAATGAAAGTACATGTAGTCCTTGACTAACAACCATAGATTTAGTGACTGTTCGAAGTTACAACAGAGCTGAAAAAAATTACTTATGAGCAGTTCTCACATTTATGATTGTTGCATCATCCCCATGGTCATATGATCAAAATTCAGGTGCTTGACAACTGGCATGTATTTATCACAGTTGCACTGTCCCGGGATCATGTGATTACCATTTGTAACCTTCCCAACCAGCTTCCAACAAGCAAAGTCAAAAGGAGAAGCCAAATTCACTTAATGAATGACTGCATGATTCACTTAACAACTGCAGTGATTTGTTTAGAAACTGGCAAAAAGGTTGTAAAATGGGGCAAATATCACTTAACAATTTTCCTGCTTAACAATGGAAATTTTGGGTTCAATTGTGGTCGTGAGTCAACGACTATCTGTCATTGTTTATATCAAAGATGTAATCTTTGTAATGTTATATCAAACATTCTTAAGAAGTTGTCCTTTGAGTGTATTGGGGTTACAACATTTATAATCTAACAGATTTGGAGAACAGCTTGAAGAAACTTAATGGATCTGCTGAGTTACTTAATTCTTTACCTGACGTGAGGCTGCAACGAAGTTAATCCACCCATCATCCAAGGAAACAACATATGCCCCATTCTGGAGCTGCATGTTCACACGGCCTCCCCCAAACAAGATCAGTGGATATACCGATACCATGCTGCAGTCTCGAACAAAAATCCGGCTGGTTTTTACCATTTCATGGTATACCAAGTAGGGGCTATCAAAGTGCTTTGTCTGAAATACAGAATTCCAAAGAATACTTATGGGACATTTAAAACAAGAACAACTCTGGTTCTGTAAATATCATCTATATTATACTATATAACTACCACTTAGACTTTGCTAACAAAAATTTGTTCGGTGCCAGCTTAAAGTAGCCAGACCTGAAGAGGACATGGAGGTGATATCTGAAACCTCTAGGCAGGCTTCATATGAAGCCTGCAGAAGAAAAGAGAGAAAGACATCTGTGTTGGTGTCTACAGAAATATTCAATAAGTTTCAGTGAGGCTTATAGCAGGCAACTATTGCCTAATGTTGTGAATGCTATTTCTTCCACAAATAAGCTCATGTATACTAAAATAAGTCTGAGTGGAATACTTTACTGACTGGAGGTTAGAAATTACCTGATAATTTACAGAAGATGGATGAATGTGAATGTAACCTTGGTTTTTTGTAGCAAACATCAGTGCTTCAGGTTTTGCATTAATTTTAGCAGCTCCTCTATTAGCCTTCTGATACTTCTTTTCTTGTTCTTTTATCTAAAATGGTAAATAAAAATTGCGAACTGAATATCCACAAGCAATCCCCATTTATTTCAACAGAGATGTATAGAAAGAGACATTTCTACTAAACTGCTTTCCTCTAACAAATCAACATGGTAATATTGTGGAACTTAAAATTTAAAAAAAACCCCACAGAGGTACTACTTCATTCCCCAAATCTATTCCAAACTTAGTAGTAGGACATATTACAAAGCCATAGCCTGAATGCTTTTGTTTGACAAGATAATTGGAGCATCATGATTGTGAGCATGATCAATGTATGTAAAATCAGTGCAAATCCAACCCAACCCTGAAGTCACTAGCTGGTCTTTGGAAAGCAAATTGTTTTTAGCACCAGCTTTCATTTCTAACACTATGTACTTCCAGGAGTTACCATTTTTTCCTTCTCCCCAAGGAATCCTTATTGCAGGCATGTCAAACTCGCGACGTCACATGATGTTGCGCGAGGTATCGGAGCTTTTTTGCCATTGCCGGCAATGGGGTGGGCGCGGCTCCGGTATGATGAAACCGGCCCGTGGGCCGGCAGTTTGACACCCCTGCCTTATTGTGTCAAGAAAGCACTTCTCT